CTGATGGTACATTGTGCTGTATAATGTACTATTGCTGGGTTTTGGAGTCCTCTATAGCTGGTGGTATTCTGCATTGTGCTGTATAATGTACTATTGCTGGGTTTTGGAGTCCTCTATAGCTGGTGGTATTCTGCATTGTGCTGTATAATGTACTATTGCTGGGATTTGTAGTCCTCTATAGCCGGTGCCATTCTGCATTCATTGCTGTATAATTTTACATTTTTCATTTCACTATATTGCACACCACACTTTTTTTTCTTTTTTACTTCCACTGCTCCAAGCTTGCTCCTGTGATGGACTGCAATCTCAATACAAACTAGTAGTCCCATCACTGGAGCCATTTTTAGAAATTTTATTTTTTAACCCATCGAACCTAATAATCAGCTAACTAATCGATTTTGAAAATAATCGTTAGCTGCAGCTCTACTGACCTCACCGTTTTCCACAGGATTTAAAGCATTACAGAACATTCTAATATTGGATATTGAAGGAATAGCATACCACTGATGTTCTATCCTGTTAGCAAGCACACAAGTGTTAGACTGACATCCCTGGGCAAAGAAGTAATGCCCCATTGCTTTGGGGCGAATGTATACAGCCAACTGTTTGCATCAGAGCTGCTTTTCTTTCCTAAAGAACTCATTGTGAATGCAAAGGCAAGTATCTTGGAAGCACCAGAAAATAAACTAAATTTGACTGCCCCTACACAAGCCCTTAAAGCACCACCCCTTCCTTTCTCTGCTGTGCAAGTCCCTGTTAACACCTAGGCGTTTTGATGCTCAAAGCGAAGCGCAACAAAACCCCATTCATTTCAATGGCCCCTGTTCACACCTGACCTAAGGCGTAAAACGGTAAATGCTGGAACAAGTACATGAGCTTTTTTTGGCATATTGCAGTGCATTTGGCCCCATAGACTTCAATGGAAACGCCTAGAAACGCACGACACAAGCGGTTTGCACATTTCTGTGTGCATTTTGTCCATTCAGCATTCAGTTTTAAGAAAAAGTGTGTTAATTGGCATTTTGCTGCTATTCATTTTAAATAGCACTCCAATGTGCATATACAGTAATAAAGAAATATAAGTGTACTATAGCATACCACAGCTCTTATGAAGATCTTGACAACTCACAGAGAATACATTTATCATTTTGTGCTTGCTGGTTTACCCCTACACTCCCTAAAGCTACAAAGCGTTGCACAGCTATAGAAAGTCATGCATGACTACTTAGACAATGTAATTTAACAAGTGTACTCAGATAGTGATAGCTGCTTGGCTCTCTGATCAAAGCTCCTTGATACTGCCAAACAAAATCCTATGAGGCAAGCCTGGCCACACTGTTAGGTGGCACCATGCTTTGAAGTTTTCACATATCATGTCATGTGACAAAATCATTACACAAGGACACCCTAAACAGATCAAAAGAAAATGAAGCAGGACAGAGCACATTCTACTGCTAGGACTTTTTTGTTAGCAAAAGCCGTGGGGCAATAGGGCACAGCCGCACAGTTAATATGTCTGGAATTGAGCTGTAGGCATTGTCATCAATGGATCAATACACTGAGAAGGAAGAGGACAAAAGGAGAGTTGTAGAGGACAAATAAAATTGAAGTTTTCCTTAAAGTCATAACTTCAGGGTGGAGGCAACACGGGAAGGAGTAGATCTGCTCTAAAGCTCAAGCCTACATGGTTGATTTTAAACAGGTTCACTTTAAGAATATCTAATACTTCTGTTCCCCTATCTACAAAGTTACAGGTTCAGAGTCCAGTCTCAGAAAGATTCAGGCAAAGGTTTGTAATCGCTGAAACTATTAGTCTGGTCTTCAATCTTCGGGAAAGTACACTTGGAGATAAAGGATTGGGAAACCAATCCCGGAAGCATTCTGACACCAGGGCCTTGAGGGTCACATTTTCTTTTCCAAAATGACTGCTACGTACAATAGGACTATCTAGGTTTGTATAACTGTAAACGGCAAAGATTCTTTTCCAAATGTATTGCTATGTACAATAGGACTATCTAGGTTTGTATTAGGTATGTACCGACACCGATACTAGTATCAGTACCGATGCCGAGTACTTGGGCAAGTACTCATACTCACCCAAATGCTCCGATACCTTTCCCGATACTGGAAATTACGGTTAGCGGAAGATTCCCTCTGACTGGCAGTGCTGAAGGGGAACATGGAGCCGGCTTCCCCGGGGCAATCAGGAAGCCGAGTGGCAAATAATGACCCGCCTCTTTGACTGGCCAGCGACCCAGCTTCCCAGCCACGCAGCATCGAGCCGGCCGAACAGACGACTCCTTTCTGACTGGCTGGGAAGCCGGGTTCTCAGCCAGGCCGGGCGGCATGTCATTACACGCCACCTGGCTTCTTGATTGCCCGGGAAGCCGTCTCCATGCCAGTGGAAGCACTTGAGTACTGAAAGCAAAATATTGGTACTCGATACCGAAAAACCAGCATCAGTGCATCCCTAGTTTGTATAACTGTACAGGGCAAAGATTATTTTCCAAATGTATTGCTATGTACAATAGGACTATCTTGGTTTGTAGGAATGTAATTGGCAATGATGCATTTAAAATACTTATGTGTTTAAGCATTACATTACATCTTTGTAAATCAGTGTAACTCAATAAAGAATTAAATATATTATAATTGCAATTGCAGCTATGACTTTCTAAATAAAACAAGTTTACTATTCCATATTGAAAATGATCATGCCGTCCTTATGAACTTGTAACGTTGGCTTAACTTGCTGTCACCACCTTGTGGCCTTCACTGTAACTGCAATGCAGAAAAAAAATCTCTCTGTTCTTAAAGTGTATTTCCACTTTTGCAGACAAAGGGGTTTAGAAAACCCCTTTGTCTGTTTCTTATGTGTCGCCATTCACGCAGCATACTGAAAAATACACATATATATATATATATTCCCTACCTTTTACCTGTTTCTTTGGTGAAAGCCTCCGTGCAGATTCCAAGCTACTCTGAGCAGTTGGAGAGTGAAACTATGTCAGGCTTAGCATCCACTCAATAACACACAATGCGGTGAAGGCTTTAAACCTTAGTTGTTAGGACAAACAGTTTTCAAGTCTAGTTTACAACTTATAGGGAAATCTGCCAGCACAGTACAGACAGGGTTAATTAGAGTCAACATAACTTGCCACAGCCCCCTCCTTAACATATTATTATACAGGATTTATATAGCACCAACAGTTTGCACAGCGCTTTACAATATAAGTAAGACATTACAATCACAATACAATTCAAGACACGATGGTGAGGAGGAGCCTGCCTGTGAGGGCTTACAATCTAAAAGTGAGGGGCAAGTGATACATGAGGAGGTAGCTGTGTGGGGATGAATTGTTTGAGAAAGCGATAGTTCAGTGGTTAGGTTGAGGTAAGAAAGGCTTCCCTGAAGGGATGAGTCTTAAGGGATTGCCTAAAGGCAGTCAGAGTGGGAGACAGACAGGCAGGTCGGGGTAGAGAGTTCCATAGGATGGGAGAGACTCTAGTGAAGTCCTGGAGGCGAGTGTGGGAAGAGTTGACAAGGGAGCTGGAAAGCAGGAGGTCTTTGGAAGAGCGGAGGGGACGGTTAGGGTGATACTTTGAGACAAGGTTTGAGATATAGCCAGGGGCAGAGTTGTGGATGGCTTTGAAAGTGGTTGTTAATATTTAGAATTTTATCCTCTGGGCGAGTGGAAGCCAGTGCAGGGATTGGCAGAGGGGGGTTGCAGACACTGAGCATTTGGTAAGGTGAATGAGTCTAGCAGCAGCATTCACGATAGACTAAAGGGGGGATAGCCTGTGTAGAGGTCAGCCAATGAGGAGGGAGTTGTAATAGTCAAGACGAGAGATAACAAGGGAATGGATGAGCAATTTTGCGGTTTCATTGGTGAGGAAGGGGCGTATTTTGGAGATGTTACGAAGGTGAAGGCAGCAGGATTTGGATAGTGATTGGATGTGGGGAAGAAAGGTGAGGTCCGAGTCAAGGATTACACCATGGTATGGGGGAGGGGGGGGGCTGGATAGTTGTGTTATTAATCTGAAGGGAAAAGTTTGGGGAAGGTGCACGGGGGGAGGAAATATCATAAGCTCAGTTTTTGTAAGGTTGAGTTTTAAGAAGTGTTGTGACATCCAGACGGATATGTCAGTTAATAGATTAGTGACAAGCAAGGACACTGAGGGGGAGAGTTGTGGAGTAGAAAGATAGATTTGAGTGTCATCGGCATAGAGATGGTATTGGAAGCCATGTGAGGATGTGTAGATGGAGAAGATTAAATGGGGAAAAACTAGGTAGGATTTTTAAGCAAGTAAAAAGCACTACAAAATTAAGCAACTTTTTTTTTTTTTTAAGTTATACAATGTGAATGGGAACATATAACAAACATAAAATAGGTATTATCCCAATTTGGCTGCAAAAGTGAACCTACACTTTAAAGCGGAACTAGACCCACCAATGTAATGTCTCCCAAAACAGTTACTTTCAAGACATGCCAACTGTCAAGGTTTCCAGTGAGCTTATTTCAGCTCTCAACCAAACCTTTAAGCCCTCAAATGCAATTCAAATAGAGCTTAAGATGAAACCTTCCTTGGCTGTACAGGATAAGGGTTTGTAGTTCCAGTTTTTAAAAAAAGCAGCAACCAAGAGAAAATTTATAGTGCGGTTGTGAAGGAGCAGTGATATTGGGCTTTGGAAATTAGCCCTGAGAAAAAGTCTTTCATTTTCCAAATAGTCATATTAGCTCATTTCTGCTTTACCGCACTTGGCACATCAGTCAGAATTTTCATGAATTATACCAAAATAACCTAATTTAATGAGATGCTAATTAACCATTTTCTTCCTCTGTACAAGATACCACCCACTGCATATAAAAAGCTAATACTAAGATATTGCACAGTGTGGAATTTGTGTTTTTTGCAACCATTACACCTATTATAATGCAACAGAAGAGAGATCGGACATATCCAAACAATAGAGGAGTTTAGGATAACAAAGAGCTCACCTTAGATTAGTTTTCCGATCATCATCATTCCCAAATTCCTGCAAGAAAATTGGCAAAGTATGAAAAAAGTAAACAGTTCTAATCTTAGTAGGTATCAAATACAGAGGATGACAAGGTTGACCATGTTTGAATAATGTAGCCAGCTATCTAACCACTATAAGAATGCCAAAAAATGCTTAGTTTTTACATGTATTAATCTAGGATATAGCAATACATATACAGGTGAAACTCGAATAATTAGAATATCGTGCAAAGTTCATTTATTTCACTAATGCAACTTAAAAGGTGAAACTAATATATGAGATAGACTCATTACATGCAAAGCAAGATAATTCAAGTCGTGATTTGTCATAATTGTGATGATTATGGCTTACAGCTCATGAAAACCCCAAGAACCCCAAATCCACAACCTCAAAAAAGTAGATTATTACATGCAATCAATAAAACAAGGATTGTACATAGAACAATATCGGACCTCTGAAAAGTACAAGCATGCATATGTACTCAGTACTTGGTTTGGGCCCCTTTTGCAGCACTTACTGCAATTACTTTTGCACCATATTCTAATTATTCGAGTTTCACCTGTATAAGGTCAATCAAACCAAAAGAATACCAGTGGGTAATGTCCTGTGGACCTTGTCACCTGCTGGCTTTTTATATTTAATTTCTCCCTATGGAGGTCCTTTGCACATCCATTGGGAGAAATGAAAAGCATGGCTTCGGCGGCTGAATTTAAATGATGGCAATTCGGTCGCTGGAGACAAATCATTAGTAGCAGGATCGTCAGGAGGCTGCCCGTCTGTCCCTATGACTTTGCTCCCTTTGTAGACAGATATTGCTCTGTCGCTGGTCTGAACACTGCTGATCGCTAGCGATGGAGGAGGGGTGGGGGTACATCTCGCTACCTTAGCTACAGAGGGAGCAATTCCATGGGGAGAAAAAGGCAGCCTCTTAGTGATCCTGCTGCTGGTTATTTCAACAAATGACCCCACGGCAGGATCGCCCATCTAACATGAGCCTTAAAGTGGACCTTTACACTTAAAAATCTCCTCTGTAATCTCATGAGATCTCAGTGAAAAGCATTTCCTCCCCTGAAGTGCATGGTTACATGTTCTAGTCACATGTGCCAGAAATGCAGGAAGTAATAGGAGAGCTAGTAGCCTGCCCTTAGCAAACATGGCCACTGTCAGTGCCTGGCAAAGAAAAGAAAATAAGGTATGCAAAGAATACAAGGCCAGCAATTATCTAGAAGTATGTGTTTGTAGATTGTCATTACTAAACATTTCCAAAAGGTATATTTGTTGTTATTTTAAAGATGGGTAAAGGTCCGCATTAAAGTAGATTTAATCTACTGCCTACACCTGCCCATATGCAAATACTAACTTTATCTTGCACAGAGGTGATCTTACCCATCTTCCACCTATGCCTTGCAAGAAATGAGATGGGCATCCTCAATAATCAATAGCAAATCATCGGAGGGTATGGTCTGAGTAGGGAAGCACAGGGCAGAACATAGCAGTATGCACAGGCAGGCAACACAGGAAGCTGAGGTTGCATGGGTGAATAGTGAAATCACAGCCCTGGCTAACCAGTGCAGCAAGAAAACGTGAATCATAAAAATATCTGAAAAGAATGAAAATATTTGTCAGGTCCATCAATCCTAAACTCATGGCAGACACTTATATAAGCACTGTGGTATTGGATGGCGCATCTATTTTAGGTGTGCCCAGAGTTCACCAACATGTCAATGAGTATTAACAACCAAATCCAAGAGAAAATCTCTGCCTCGGTATGCTGCTCCGCAAATCCCACATTCTGGTGCAGCAGGATCACTACACATGCTGCAGTCCCTTCAATCCCTGAACAAACTGAAAAAGAGAAGCTGATTGGTTCATATAGGCAACTGCTCCAGCATTTATGAATTCCTCCCCAATGTGTACAGCAAGGTTTTACAAAGCATTAGCAGTGCTTTCAGCTAATTTCAAGCAACTTTGCTAAAGTCTTTAAAGGAGAACTATGGGGTTAGGGCTTTTTCCCCATAGTTCTCCTTAGGGTAACGGGAGGACACAAACTAGTGTCCTCCCGTCACACTAGGCTCAGTATACTGAGACGACGCAGTAAACCGTGAGCAGCTGCTCGCGGCACACTGACCCGCCGCAGCTGAAGCGGATCCCGACAATTGTGCCGGAATCCGCCCAGCTGCGTGAGTGACAGCTGGCTCTGCCTATCAAGAGGCAGAGCCAGCTGTACCCCGCCCCCTCCCCCGTCGGTTCCGCCAGTCAGCACTGGCGGATCGGAGCGGGGGGAATCCAGCCTCTCCCCTGTCACGGCAGAGAGCCGTGACAGGATCGAGAGGTGAGCGAACGCTGGTATGTGTTCGCTCACCTCCCGATCTACTGAGCCGACCTGTGACAGTTTCATTGTCACAGGTCGGCTAGAACTATGAGGTGAGTGAAAAGCACTCACCTCATAGTTCTCCTTTAAAGGCACCATTCAGCATGACCAGAGGCAGGTCATATTGGGATATTGGGATTAGTAGCTACAGCTCAGCTGGAGGACTGGGGTTGCCCACCCCTGCTCTAGTGCTTGCACAAACACAGTACAGTGACCGAACTGTACCATGTATAGTGTAAAATCACACTAAAGAGGTACAGAGCCATTGAGCGTAGTGGTGACCAATCACAGCATCACACAATGTAAACAATGACTGCGGTTAAGAGAACAATGGGGTAAGTGTTTTTCCCCATAGTTCTCTTAGGGTCTGTTCACACGACGTCCGTTTTCTGTGCTGACCTGATCCGTACGCTCCTGCACTAAAAATGCATCACAATGTTTCCCTATGTGTTTTATGGGCTACAGTTCTCACGTGCGCAGTCCGTTCAGGTTACAACAGAAAAATACTGCATGTCACATTCTGTACAGTCAGGAAACGGTCTGGAAACGCAAAACGCGTCAAAAAGGCACTGCACTGCAGCTAACATACTGACAGCCCCACTCAAGCAAAACTGGAACGCATCAAAAACGCGGCCAAAACACATAGCACCGCGCCTGCAGATCCGCACCTGATCCGGACCTGAAAATCATGTGAACAGGCCCTAAGGGTCACAGGAGGTCCTTGTCACTAATCTACTAACTGACATATCAGTCTGGATGTCGCAACACTTCTTTCTCAACTCAACCTTTCAAAACTGAGCTTATGATATTTCCTCCCCCCGTGCACCTTCCCCCAACATTTCAGTTGCGATTGATAACACAACTATCCAAACCTCCCTTCATGCCAAGGTCCTAGGTGTCATCCTTGACTCGGACCTCACCTTTCTTCCCCACATCCAATCGCTATCCAAATCCTGCCGCCTTCACCTTCGTAACATCTCCAAAATACGCCCCTTCCTCACCGAGGAAACCGCAAAATTGCTCATCCACTCGTTATCTCTCGTCTTGACTAATGCAACTCCCTCCTCATTGGCCGACCTCTACACAGGATATCCCCCCTTCAGTCTATCATGAATGCAGCTGCTAGACTCATTCACCTAACCAACCGCTCAGTGTCTGCAACCCCCCTCTGTCAATCCCTGCACCGGCTTCCTATAGCCCAAAGGATACAATTCAAAACATTAACCACTTACAAAGCCATGCACAACTCCACAAGACCTCCTGCTTTCCAGCTCCCTCGTCAACTCCTCTCATACTCGCCTCCAGGACTTCACTAGAGTCTCTCCCATCCTATGGAACTCTCTACCCCAACCTGTCCATCTGTATCCCACTGACTGCCTTTAGGCAATCCCTTAAGACTCATCTCTTCAGGGAAGCGTATCCCACATCAACCTAACCACTGAACTATCACATTCTCAAACAATTCATCCCCACACAGCTACCTCCTCATGTATCACTTGCCCTTCCCTTTAAGGCCCCATTCACACTGAGCGGATTGCCGTGCCTTTTTGCCGCACGATATCGCGAGAAGTCGCCGGCCAATGATTTTCAATGGAGCTGTCTTAATGTACAGCTCCATGTCGCGGTCGCGCCTGCAGGTCTCTTTTTTCGGCGGATGCCACGTGATTTTTTTTAATGCAGCCCGACGGTGAAGGTCATGCTACCGCCGCTGGATCGTCACCCCGAACAGTCGTGCTATCCCGGCCGCGCGGAGCCGCTTCTAAAAGGTATGTCGCTTAGTGTGAATGGGGCCTTAGATTCTAAGCCCTCACGGGCAGGGCCCTCCTTACCATCTTGTCTTTGTATTATGGTTGTAATGTCTTCCTTATATTGTAAAGCGCTGCGCAAACTGTTGGCTTATATAAATGCTGTGTAATAATAATATTATACTAACTCCCTCCCTGCCAGAGCTCAGTATATAGCGAGCTACAGTTCGTGGTATATGGAGACCGCCGCAGCCGGAACGGATCCCGACAACACTGTCGAGATCCACTCAGCTGCGTGAGTGACAGCTGGCTCTGCCTATCTAGAGGCAGAGC